CCCGAATCTGATTTCTTCTCGTTCAATGCATCTATAACATCCATCTTTTAATGTGAATGGTTTATGTCTATCTTTTAATATGATTGAATAAAATATATATATATAATTACTTTTTTATTTTTTTTTTCGGTTTCTCGTCTGGTATCCGAAGTTTCGTCTCGATTAATCCGGACCCGACCCACATCGCGCACCTGAAAATGGTGGGTGAGTCTCCCAACGAGAGCTGCTGCGTTCACAAAGTCAAACTCGAGATCTTGCTTAAGTTAGAACAAACCGCTTACCACTTGATCCAATCCCTCATTGTTTATAATTACATCTTCTTAGTGTAGTTTAGTAATAAGAATTCTACGTTGTGGTCCCATGGAAATCTGACTCGAATTTCGACGGTCACAATTTCTCTGTATTTTTAAAATTTTTATGAGTATTTTATATCATTTTATATTTAACATTTACTAACACAATCACTATAAATACAAGAAAAATATGCAAGATAACTAATTAAATTATTAACATAAAAATATTTTTTTACCTATATAATTAAGATTTGAATTATCAATCTTTCAATTAACTTGTTTCCAAAAAAAAAACTGCAGTTACATTACATCGAATAAGCCGATAGATAGCTTCATGTATTGGAGATGATTTACAGCTGTAGTTATCATCAATCATGTTTTAAAACAAACAAACAGATGGAAGTAACTGGATGGAGCAAATTCATTGTTTGAAATGATATTCTTCGGCTATTCTGTGGGGGAAAAAAAAGGCTTTTATTTACAATTAATAAATTGTTTGGGTTTTGGATGGTGATAGGGACATTTGTGATATGTATGCTAAAAAATTGGTGCCCGTTCCAACAAAATCGACCAAACCAAAAAAAGCACACAGCGTCGGACATTCCAGAAGAAAGATACATTTATCTGTCCCAGTCATGCATCGTGGCCACATTCTTTCGACACTAATAATTTCCGCCGTAGAAAGTCTCATGATGGAAGTCTAAGACACAGAAAAGAGATGGAAACAATTAATCCAACTGTAAATTGGATATTTTAATATTCATTATTAACAAGGTCAGTACAAACAATATCCTTTTGAAGAACAAAGAAAAAGATTTCATTGGAAATATTCTCTTTCAAACAGAGATTCAAAAACTAGCCCAATCGGCCGGAACAATTCAGACATTCCAGGTTGGAAGCACAATGACTATATTGCTACTTCCTTGTCCATTATTGCTGTTTTATATGGTATATATACCGCAGCAGAGTTTGTGTTGGGCATATATACGAGCCAGTTACTAATCTGAACATTAGACTGCATAGGAGGGAAATGACTCGGCGAAGTGCTGCTTCATACCTTGATATTTTTTTTTGGTGGTCACTTGTGGCCATGACTATGCTTCTTGCTCAGGCTGAAAAGCCGGCTACATATATATTCGGAGACTCTGCTGTTGATGATGGGACCAACGATTACGTAGAGGGATGCCTAGCCATGGCAGATTTCCTTTTCAATGGCATCGACCTTCGTAACTCTATCCCAACAGGGAGATTCAGCAATGGCTTTTAATACTGCTCACCAAATAGGTACAATCTGCTAAGAAGAAAAAATAAAAACATTTTTTCGCATGCTATTTTCTCTTGTGCATGCATCTAATCAAAATCATATTTTGTTTAGTGAGATTGTTGGGATATAAGAGAAGTCCACCACCATATTACTACCATGTCGTCCATCCCTCTGCTTTCAAGCAGAACATCCTCTATGGCGTCAACATTAAAAGATGTACCATATTACTACCTTGTCATTCAGGAGGAGCTGGAATTCTGAATGAAACAGGACAGACACTATATGTCAGTTTCATTTCCTCCGGTAATTCTGTTTTTACAATATTGAGAGACGTAGGTACTTACATTTTCCTTGAATCTTCAGCATAAGGTCATATCCATGGCAGAGCAGTCCAGCAGTTTTCATATGTCCGCGAAGTCATCACCAACATGACTGGTAGTGAACAAGCTACCAGTTCCAAGGCTTTCTTTCTCATCAGCGTTGGAAGCAACCACTTGTTTGACTATCTGAACAACCAAACAGTGTCTCCACAGGAGTTCCTGCAGACTACACTAACAGCGTACCAAAGTCATATAATGGTTAACACGCACATAAGCTTGATTTATTAAGGTTATAAATTTAGGAGTTGAACTTCATAAACTTAATACCTTTGTTAATTACTGTATTGAAATTACAGAACCTGTATGAACTTGAAGCCAGAAAATTTGGCATTTTGGGCGTTCCACCAATTTGGTGCTGCCCATGTGCACGGGGTTTCATGGTTGATGGTAACTGACTAACTGTTCCATTGATGCAAATAATTTAGCGCATGGATTCTACAACGGAACTGATGACTTCTTAAGCAGTTTCAGTTATGCATATCCGGATGTGAAGTATTCACTTGGAAATATATTCCAAATGACTAATTACATCATAGATGATCCGTTAGCTTTTGGTAAACAGTTTTTATCCTTCTCCAATTTTCCTTCTTTTTATCTCTCCGTCTACTCCTTAATGCTCATGGATTTTCCAGCTGCTAAACTTTATAGGTTTCAAAAACGTTGCATCAGCCTGCTGTGGAAATGCATCATACATATGTAACCAAATGGCAACCCTTTGTGATGATCGCCACGGGTTCTTGTTTTGGTACAGGTATCATCCAACTGAGGCTGTTTCAGAGTTGGCAGCACTAACCCTCTTTGGGGGTTCAGTAGAACTTGTCAAACCAGTGAACTTCAGTCAGTTGTTGCAGGTTAATGGCCAAGAGATATTCCATTAAATGCCATCAATCTCTGATCACAAAACAGGAGTGCTTGATGTTTCCTCTTCAATTAGTCCAAGCATTAATAAGAAGTTGCAGCTAAGAACTATACTATTTATCGGCCATCTGATTCAATAAGAATAATGCTGCTAGGTTTTTTTTTTTTTTTTGTAAGAATAATGCTATTTGATGTTACTATCATTATAAAGCATACTAGTTCATTATTCATAAGCTCTGGATTTTTATCTTCACTAACATAATAACACCATTCACCTATCCATGACTCTTCCTTTCTGATCCCCTTCCCTGAATCCAAACACATATAGCTTGAGTGATTTTCACTTATTTATCTCCCATCAGCCTTAGTAGAGAAAGTTTGTAGAGATCAGACAAGGGAAGGGCAATGTAGCAAATCAACATCTTCCGAGGCTTAAAATGCAGTAACACGTTGGCTAGAACAATCCGCCCCTCCTGGAAGTTTTCTCTGTCTTACCATCCTCTTTCTAGGCTAAGAAAATGACACCATCACCATCATCTGCTTGTTCACTTCAATAGTTTGTAGCGTGAATAACAAAAGAAAGGGCCAGCTCATAACATAGATATAAAGAACCAAACGCAAGAAATTCAAAAGAAGATAGACACAAACAAAAATCTGTAATGCTGTAGATGATTGTCCATTCACGGGCAAATTAAGTTGAACTATTTTTATCCTTCTGTTTTCCTCTCTCATTCATGCACAACTAGAAGGTTAAAACACAAGGGTCAAGATGGATGATTTCATTAGGATGCTTTTGGATCCACCGTTTTAGTAAATAAATAAGCCTTCTGAAGTTAGGATTGTTACTTTGTTACACTAGCATGCTGCCTTGTATGTGCATATTTCTCTCTTAGAAAAGGCTCCCCTTCGTACTCAGTTGTCTGTCAAATCTCAAATGGAAATCATCATCTTCTATTATAAGAGACTCCTTGACTCAAAATAACACAAGTGAGCTAAAGCAGTAAAAAGCCATAGCTAAAATTCGAAGTCAATCGAGATAAATATGTTACAAGATTTATGTAATAAAAGAATACAAGAACCGAATATCATATTGAAAAAGCAATATTTATGATATTGAAGCGTAATGCATACACAGTGCTACAAGTGTTTCAGAACAGCATTGGCGGAATGCTGAGCAAAATATTTTTGCCTAAATTGTACATATGGGTAGCCAATAAATGACAGAAAGTGAGCAGGCTTCGAGAAGGAAAGAATTTCATACCATACCTGGTTGTTCTCATCTAGCTCAATTGAGAAGCGTTCCTCCCCAGCCTGCTTTCAGCAAAATTCAAAGCCACATCAGTAACTCCAGAACTATAGATATACTAAGATTTATATTTAAGTTCAGTAACACCACAAATTCAGGACTAGGACTGACCAGTAAGTGCCCTTGCAAGGTGCCACTGCCAAAACCAAAAGAGGCCACAGCCTTCTTAGCATTTCTGTTTTCCTTCACATACACCACCTGAAGAGGCATCATGACCCACGGTAGAAATTCCTTGAGACAAACACAGAACTTCACTCCACTTCGAATTGGCGTCTTGGGATCAACAAATGCCCAATTTAATCCAAAATGCCTGCGAATTGAACAACAAACAAAACCAGGTCATCCCCCCCATAACAATCTGTTCATCACATCAGCCAAAGCAATCTACAAACCTCCAATTCTCAAGAGCTGCCTTGCCCTTCTCATAAGTCTCAACACCAGAACCAACCAAAACACGAGCATGATTCAAATGATAACCACCATTAGAGAGCTCCCTGTCCTCTTTGAGGGAAGACACAGACTTGTCAGTAGCACCTCTATATTTCGAATCATAGTTGAAAGTTCCCGACCTGGTGAATGGTATAAATTCTCATATATGAACATCCATTGAAAATATACATAAAAAAGACGATAAATTGAAGACACATAGTAACTTCAATTACTTGTTTATGCAAGATTTCTGCTGTTCAGAAGAAGGTCTACCCCAGCATAAGAAAACCATCTCTCTGTCAAAAAAAAAAAAAAAAAAAAAAAAAAAAAAAAAAAAAAAAAAAAAAAAGAAAAAAAAAAAAAAAAAAAAAAAAAAAAAAAAAAAAGGAAACCCATCTTTAAAAATTGTGCTTCTTCTTGAAGTTGAAGGTGGGCCAAAACCCATCTAGAGTGGAGACCCATCAAAAGCCTATGGAGATGGACCGTGAGTTGAGTAATAATGCACTAAAGCCGTAAAGCCCTTCAAGATACAGAATCAGGGTCGACCACTAAAGCCCGATATTGAGGAACGTGGGTTCTACTCTGGGCTTCTTCTACAGAAGTTATTTCAGATCCTGGATGCATCGGATTCTCGCCACGATCATTACCCCAATGGCCCCAACCTGATCCGATTGCGCCTGCGTTGTCAAATCACATAACGGCTACATCGTCCCCAGCTGTAATCACAGGGAGGAAAGTCGGTGTTCTTCTTTGTGACTCATCAAACATAATCACCGTAATCAGGATCCAACGGAGTAATTAGTAAACGAAATCACTTTCCTAATCAAGCTGAGAGTTACACACTTACACCCCCAGAAAAAGCTCTCCCTTTTACCCTCACCAGCCATGACAGCGTCGGTCGGAAGTTCCCCTGCCGCCCATTACTGGAAACTCAGGAAGCTCGCTGCTTCCCTTTTCCGTAGAGGCTTCAACTCCTCCAAATGGTACTCTATTTTTTTTTTTCGGGAACCCAGATGAATTTCTTCTCTTAGAATGGAATGTGCCTGTCATGGTTTCTAATTTCTTGCATTTTTTGTGGTAGGGGATCAGGGGTTATGGGTTTGAACTTGTTTCATTTATTTCTATTTCTACTTTCTTAACCCCCCTTTTTTTTTTCTTTTATTATGAATGGCAGCAAAACTGCGGCCAAGATGGCAGTGGCGAGGATAAAGCTACTGAGAAACAAAAGAGAGATGGTGGTTAAGCAAATGAGGCGTGACATTGCAATGCTTCTGCAGTCTGGTCAAGACGCCACTGCTCGTATCCGGGTATAGTGTCTATGCAAATTCCCCCATCTTAGTCTGTCCTTAGTATTAAGATGACAAAAAAGTATTGAGATGAAACCAACGCAATTATGTAAATCCATGTCTAATTTCTGCACTTCTTGATTTTTGTAGGTAGAACATGTTTTAAGGGAGCAGAATATTTTAGCTGCAAATGAGGTCATTGAGCTCTTCTGTGAATTAGTTGTGGCCAGGGTTACCATCATTGCTAAGCAAAGGTAAGAAATTTTGAATTTCTTTTGGTCACATTCTGAAGTTAAGGCCTACATTTTCTAGCATCTAATTGAAGTTTCTCAAGGTAGCACATGTTGTTTTCTAACATGGCTGAATGTGTTATAGGGAATGCCCTGCGGATCTCAAAGAAGGAATTGCTAGTTTGATTTTTGCAGCCCCAAGATGTGCAGAAATTCCAGAACTACTAGCAATTAGAAATATGTTTGAGAAGAAATATGGAAAAGATTTTGTGTCAGCAGCTACTGATCTGCGGCCTAATTGTGGTGTTAATCGTCTGGCAAGCATTGCTTCTTGTTATTGCAACTATTGCTTCTACAATCTGCTCTCTTTTGGATGTTGTGTCCTATAATGAAAGACTAATATTGTTTTCCTTTTTGTTATAGCTTATTGACAAGCTCTCGGTTAAGACACCAAGTGGTGAAGTAAAGCTGAAAGTGATGAAGGAAATAGCAAAGGAGCACCAGATAGAATGGGATACCACCGAATCAGAAAAGGAGCTTCTAAAGCCTCCCGAGCAGCTTATGGTTTGTTTCTCTCCTCCCTCTCTTAGATGTGCACCATTCCACACTCACACATCACATGCACAAATTTTAGCTCAATTACAATCTAAATTTATTTATAATCTCGTTGATCAGGAGGGACCGCGTGCTTTTGTTAGTGCATCCAGATTACCTGTAAAACCTGCTGATCCTGCTCTCAGTCATTCTGTTGACACAAGGAACAGGTAACCCCAACTTTGTGTCAAATACATGATCTTTAGGAAAGATCAGATTAGGAGATTTGTACTATACTTTGTCTTCTGATTCTTTACCAGATCAAGAAGGGGTGAAAATGGTGACCCCATGCATTTTGAAGACACGGCATCAGCTGCTGAAGCAGCTGCTCAATCGGCAAAAATGGCAATTGCTGCTGCACAAGCTGCTGCTTATCTGGCCAACAAAAACAACAATCAGTTTACTCACACAACTGGTTTTGGTAAAAATCCAAATGCTTCAAGTACCAATTATGGATTAGGAACCTTTCCTGGGAACTCTGCTGGCGAGTTCTTTGCAACTGATCCTTCAGTCAATCCTCAGCATATGGAAACCAGAGCCCCTGGGAGGATGTATGACTCTCACGGTTTTGATAGGTCTCGTTGTCCAAGTAACGAGGAAATGAGGCCTAACAATGATTTAGACCGAAAAGTCCCCAGGAGACACAGCTACAATGCCCCTTCTGTGCATTCAGATGTTAAGTTTGATGAATCAGATTGTGATGAAGATATAGAAGTTGAAGAAGGTGCTCCACGCCGCTTTAGTCTTCCACCTGAGCGGTCTCCACCACCAGTTCATTTCTCTCAAGTGAAGCAGGCCCCTGTCCATCGTGTTCATCCCAAATTGCCTGATTATGATGATCTGGCGGCACACTTTGAAGCTCTCAAGCAGCACAGAGCAAGAACCTAAGACCATCAAATACCTTCAAAAACTGGTCTTTGAGTTTATATACTTGGTAATTTGGTATACGTATTCCGTACTTGAAATATTCATTTTGCATTTTACCAATTTTCCTTGAATCGTATTGTACACCTTGTGGAGATATCTCCAATTTTCTCAAAGTTTTGATGTTATATAATAACAGAAACCTTCCTACCTCGTGCCTACGCTCCTGGGCATCGATCCAAGTCTATCTGCCTGTGGAAATTTGGTGCATCACTGCCAGTTTCTTTGATCCCCAGAAAAGTACCATTTGGCCTAAGAAACGATATATAAGCACACAACTGAAAGTTTACAAATAGTTCTCCATCCAGTGTTAAATGTTCTAACAAAAGTTTTAGCTTCAAATTTTATCGTCATGTAACCATTGTTCAGTATAACAGTGGTTTGGACTGCAATTATATTAAATTTGGTGCATGACAGAAGCAGAAGCAATTCAGATTTCAGAGATATTGTACCTAAATAAAATGAAAGACGAGAAGAATCACGTGGCAATTTTCACTAAAGATCTAAAAACTGAATCATCTGGAACAATCCCTACGTATGAATCCTGCATCTTGTCTTGCTAAAGAAATTATACCAAAGAACCGGACTCTCAAACGGAGCTGACAACGAATTTTCAGGAGAAAAAATTGTGGAAAAGATAATGGTACAATTACAATGTCCTGCAATATCAGTGACTCAGCAGCAACGGCATTTTAAAACATCCAAGAATGTATAGGGTCTTGACTTCTCTTCGAGTTCAAGCTGCGTGGGCAAAGGTTCAAAAGTGCATATGTTGGTTCTAGCACAACAGAAGTTGTATAGATTCATGCAAACTCCTTTACTGAAGGGATATACTCGCTCAGGAATTCCACTGCAGATGACAGTAGTTCAATATATTAGAAGCTGAAGCACGTCAACTGGCCAATTATTAGTTTTTCAGTACTTGCATGACAGATGTGTTAGAAAATTGTCTTGAGCCAAGATTCCATAGCATAGATTCCTGCCTCCTACATTTTTTATTTTATCAATGACTATTTCTTGCCTTCAACATCGAGGTAAAGGAAATAATGAAAGCTGCCTTACCACCTTTACTATTTCCTGAAGCATTAGTTATGTAAGTTGCATTATTATGTGATATTGCATGTTTCAAGATAAATCTAGCATATGGCCAAAAATAAAAAATAAAAAATAAAAAAGAAGATAATTCTAGCAGCCTGTTCAGATAGCATGAAGAGAATGCTAAACCAAAGGAGAGATAGAGGAAAACCATTAACTACCTTAGGTATAAGACACGTCTACGTCTCACAAGTTCATAGGTAGTTTGATTGGTCAAAACAAGATAGCTGCATGTAGAATGAATGACATCTAGATTAGAATTTATAACTTTGCTTATCCCATTTGAGTTCCCAATGGGAATTATTATGACAAAGAAAATCGTCCAAAGACATTGCAGAAAATTAGAACTGTCAAGGTCAACATTATATAATTACAATAACAATAATAAAAAACAGCTGAAGGCATTTGATACTGAAAATCAAATAAGAATGAATGGGCACAGTTACCTATGAAAAAGTAGCAGCAGCAGCAGAAAGATGAGGGAAATTAACAAGAAAATCAACAGCATTATGATGATAGCATCCTTCCACCTGTCAATATTTCCAGGTCCCATTTTAGATTAAGGTAAAATGTAAGCTGAAGAAGTAATCCAGCTGCCAAGAATTTCACATTACTGGCAAGGCCATTCTTACAACTCAAAGATAACCTACCATGCCCTTGTTATATTACCCTTGAGGTATGTAATGTAAAAGATTGCAGTCCAGAGGCATAATGCTGTCTCTTCACAAATGTACCACCTAATTTACAAATATAGACAACAAATAACATATATCCTAATTAGGAATAAATACATCTGAAGCATTATAAGGAGTAGTGGGAAGAATTCTAAACAGTCTCAAAACATCAACAGACTAAGTAAGGTCCAACTACCATCAATAAGCAAAGAATAATGCTTTTACAATCTGAAAATCAAATTTATGAACACAAACCATTTCAAAAAAAAAAAAAAAAAAAAAAAAAAAAAAAAACAAAATCAAACAAATTGAAAGAAGTTGAAAACATGGTGCCCATGAGCTTGGAATCAGTTTATGATGAGTATATTGTCAATATCCAAAATCCACACGTTAGATTATACCATGATGACTACATATATGGGCACAATTTACAGCTGAATGATATAGACTCACCAAAACCGACAATGATTACCCTGGCCAATGCATGTCCCTAGCCAAACACAATGATGATCAAACTGGAGAACGCATCTCTCACAATCATGACAATGCTTTGCTCGTGGAGGCTGAAAGGGTGCCACATAAAATATAACTGACAATCAAATGTCATGCGAAAGGTAGTAAAATATCATGTAATCATGAAAGTATTGTTGGGAAATTTTCATTGATAAAATTGTGTTTGTACATGAAAGATGTGCATATACGATTATTGTACCTGTTCAACATGACAATATGAGCACGTACAACTCCTGCAACAACCAAAAAAAAAAAAAAAATTGTGGTTTTCAATAAATTTCCACTGTATTTGGTAGATTTGTCAACAATGTGCTTGGAGAACATAAGAT